AAAAAAATTTTGGATGTTGTATTGAGAACATATTGGGGAAGGGGTGGAAAAAAGTTGGGAGGCTTTTGTAGTAGTCCAGTTAGGAGTTTATGATGCCTTGGATCAGGAATGTAGTGGTGGGAGTGGTGAGAAACAGTTGGATTCTGTGTATATTTGGGAAGCAAGATTTTCAGGATCTGTTGAATGTTTGATGTGGATTGTATGTTGAGGGTATGACAGACAGCAGTCAGTCAAAAGGAAGACTAGGGTTTCATTTGAGCCTACAGGATGGGATTTCCTTTTACTGAAGTGACGAAGATGGTGAAGGAGTGGATTTGGAACAGGGGAAGATCAGGAGTTTAGGACAAAGTTTCATTTTTGTAATTGTGAACAGAAAAATTTCCAAGAAAATCCTCATCAGTGGACTGAATTTCCTTGACCAACTGATTAGCATTTCAATGACTTGCACAGTTTGGAATGTTGTAAATTCAGAGACTAAACTCATTTTATCTAAGGCTAAGTTTAGCTGTAAATAGCCACTCCTTGCCCACCTGTTTCTGATTTAACATTCTTGTGACTAACAAAATGTATTAACAAAAGAAATGGTTACCACCAATCAAAAGGCTAAGAGTGCCATCAGATAGCATCTGAGGCCTATAGTTGAGATTTCTCTTTTGCTGTATCTGCCTACTTACTGTTTCCACCAATATATTTGAAAAGTGTCTTGATTCATGACTTTTATTTGTTCTGTTACTATAAAAACTTAATGAAACAGTTAACACGTTGAAACACGGAATTTGGGGTAACCTGAATCTGTGTTCCTGGGCCATGATCACTCATATTTGATTCCAGAATAATCTCTCATCCCCTTTGAGGTAAGAGTTATGTTTTTGCATAGACATAATCAACAGCCACAAACAGAATTTGATTAAAGTGCCTGGAGGAGAGTTCTGAACTAAAAGTGTAAATCTGATAGTTACTAGTCTATAGATTTAGATCCATGAATGTAGATAGATTGTAACTGGCATGCCTGGAAGGAATAAAGATATTCTAAACAGATCCTTGTGTCCCTCCCTCTGGGTATCTAGACTGTTAAAACTAGGTCGCCGTGCAGGAGAGATGGGAGCTGAAATAATGATGGGTCAATAATGGGCAATGCCATACCTTGGTATTTGCTTAATTAGCCATATGTTCTATTTAAACTTTGACCTCATTTTAGGACACCCCCCCCCCAACAGACAATGGGCATGGGGATGGGCTATTGCTGGATCTCTTTCTTTCTCTTCCCAATGTGTCCACATTTAATAAATTTCCTTTTTCTGCTTTTCACTATTAATGTGACTCTTAATTGGCTAATGATGGGCATGTGACTGAGCCTGCCTTGTTAGGATAGCCAGGGCATAGGCTTTGATCCCTAACTTCCAGTAACAAGATGAGAAGATAGGGCTTAAGACTGAGATTCAGGGTATTCCAACATTAAGGAGGCTCAGTGGGTAGAAGCACTTGCTGCACTTGCCTGATAACCTGAGTTCGATCCCAAGATCCCATAGGAGAAAGAACTGATTTCTGAGGGGTGTCCTCTGCCCTCTACACATGTGCTGGTACATACACACCCATACTCACACATGTATATCATACACACGTACAATAATAACATTTCTAAGAGAGAAACTGAAAAGACAAACAATATAAAGAGACTAAGAAGGATTAGCCAGTATATTAAGGAAGAAAACAAAGAGTGTATGATATTTTGAAAGCCAAGAGAGGGCTGGAATTGCAGCTCAATTGGTAGAGTGCCTGCCTACCATGCACAAAGCCCTGGCTTTGAGCCCCAGCCCCATGTAAATGCTAGGTATGGTGGCACAGGTAAGGAAGTAGAAAGCAGGAAGGAGACAAAGGGAAACAAACCCTACAGAGCCAAGCAGATTTATTAGGGAATAAACATGAGAATAAACTTGAGAGGATACCCTGCCACAGCAGGCAGGGCTGGAGGAAGTGAGCAGCTCCTTACAGGTCTGGATCCAGAGGAGAGCACACCCTCCCTTACAGTCTCAGGGTTTTTATATTTTTCTCCCTTCAGGAACAGTGGACAGGTTTGGGTCTGAGGTTGTGATGTGTTGGGCCAATGAAATGTAGATTACCTCATTATGAGGGTCAATCATGCAAGGCTCTGGTCCAGGGAATTCCAGCCCAGGATCCAGAGGAGAGCACACCCTTCCTTACAGACTTTTTCTCCTTTTGAGGAGAGGGAAGGGGTTTTGGGTAGAAACTGAGTCATCTCCATTAGGTGCAGGGTGAGTTTCCTCTTTATGAGGGGAGTCAGTCTTGCAGGACTCCAGTCCAAGGAATGCCCTGTGATTGGGACTGAGGCACATCAGAGGGGCTAGTGGAGGGGGAGGGTGTTGTGAAACATAGCTTTCCAGGGAAAGTTGCCAAGGAGTGGTGACTATACAAGAAGAATTTAGGACCTAAGATTTCTCTTTCAGCACATAGGCAGGGCTGGAGAGATGGCTCAGTGGTTAAGAACACTGGCTGCTCTTGCAGAGGAGCTGGGTTCAATTCCCAGCACCCACATGACAGCTAACCTACCTGTAACTCCAACTCCAGGGAGTCTGACGCCCTCTTCTGGCCTCTGAGGCCTTTGCATGACATGGGTGCACTTACAAACATGCAGGCAAAAACACTCATACACTTAAAAAATTTTTTTTAATTTAAAAAGAATTCTTCAGTAGGCAGGAGGAACTGATGATGCGGGGGTAGATTGGAGAATTGATTAGTGTCTTTAAGTATTCAAGGAGTGAGATCTAGTAAACAATTGGAAACCTTGGCCTTAGAGATAGAATTAGTTATCATAATAGCATTGGAGTTAGAACATTGGGTAATATAATAAATGTATATGGAAATTCTCTTCTGTTTTCTCTCTAAAATACTCTTGCAGCTAACCTCCAAGATGTCCCTTAATGATTCTAATGTGATCCTGGTAATTACACTTTTTTGTAGTCCCCTCCCAAACCGTGCCTGGTTTGGTCTTCGTGACCAATAGAATGTTGTATTATTTCAGAGGTTATACTATAAAGGCATTACATCCTCTCCAGCCTTCACTTACTTTTGTTCTCACTCTCTCTCAAGACACTCAGTCCGTGGACAGCTGCATATATCATAAACAGTTACATGAAGAAGCCACATGGCCAGGCCCTAGAGCCT